CCACAGAGGAGACAGTTGAAGAGCTTGTGGAAGAAAATTTCCGCAACATTTTGAAAGATGAGAAGACAAACACTCAAGAAGCCGAACGTACCCCAAGAAGGATAGACCCCAAGAACATCACAAAGACATATAATAATCAAGCTCTCCAAAATCAAAGAAAAGGAGAAAATCCTAAAAGCAGCCAGGGAGAAGAGAAGTGTCACTTACAAAGGCAAGCAAATCAGAATAAGCTCTGACTATTCAGCACAAACCATACAGGCAAGAAGGCAATATACAAAAGAAAAAAATATATTAAAAAATATATACAAAACCCTAAAAGAAAAAAACCTGCCAAACAAGAATCGTCTATCCAGCAAAACTATCAATCAAATACGACGGTGCAATCAAATCATTCCAAGATAAACAGAACCTAAGAGATTTTATCAAAACCAATCCAGCACTTCAAAACATCTTAAGGCAATTATTTGAACTGAAAAACAACAAGAACAGACAACAACCAAAGATTAATAGGCGTGGCAACACCACCTGGAACTCAGTCAATAGACAGCAGAGTCCAAAACAGAACAAAACTAGAACAACGAACTCAAAATAGCTGGGAAGATCAAAATAATATCAATGTCAAAGAAGGGATAAATGTAGAAACAGAGATCCAGGTGGTGAGGATGTCAGGTAGATTAAAGGATACAATAGATTCTCTTAAATGGAGAGAAACGGTAATAGACTATAAGGTAACCCCAAAGAAAGTTAATACTTCACAACTTACCATGAAAATGAACTTCCATGCAGAACAAGCAAACATGAAAACTAAGAAAAAACCGACAAGTAGCACAAAAAACACAAACTCAGCGCAAGAAGTCATGCAGAACAAAGGAATGAACAGTACTACCAAAAAAATCAACATAATGGCAGCAATTAATTCATACCTATCAATAATTACAAGGAGCTCTGATAGCATAGTGGTTACGAATTAGGCTGCTAACCTCCAGGTCGGCAGTTTGAAACTACAAGCGGTTCCGCAGGAGAAAGATTAGGGGTTCTGCTCCCATAAAGATTTACAGCCTCGGAAACCCTGTGCAGGGTCACTATGTGTCGGAACCACTCCACAGTACATAAAAACAACAACATCGATAATTACATTAAATGTCAATGGATTAAATGCACCAGTGAAGAGACAGACAGTGGCAGAATAAGAAAACAAGATCCTTCAATATGCTGCCTGCAAGAGACCACCTTACACACAAAGACAAAAACAGACTAAAAGTTAAAGGATGGAAAAAAATATACCAAGCTAACTGCAACAATAAACAAGCAGGAGTAGCAATTCTAATCTCCAATAAAGTAAACTTTAAGACAAAAACCAGCATAAGAGACAAAGAAGGACACTATCTCATGACTAAAGGGTCAATAGAACAAGACACATAACCATAATAGATATCTACATTCCTAATGAAAAACACCAAGATATATGAAGCAAACTTTACTGGAATTGAAGAAAGAAATAGAAAAATCTACAATTATAGTAGGAGATTTTAATACGCCACTTTTGAAAAGGGAGAAAACAACCAGAAAGAAACTTGACAAAGTTACAGAGGAACCAAACAATACAATCAAGCAACTTGACCTCACAGATGTGTACAGAGCATTCAACCCAAAACCAACACAATATACATTCTTCTCCTGTGCACATGGAATATTTTCCAGAATTGAACATGTGTTAGGTCACAAAGCAAGCCTCCATAAACTTACAAACTTCAAAATACTACAAAGCATCTTTTCACACTACAATGCTATAAAACTAGAAATCAACAATAAGAAGACCAAGGAAATAAAGTCAAATACATGGAAACTGAACAACACCCTGCTGAAAGCAACTGGGTAAAGAAGAAATTAAACGTGAATTCACAAAGTTCCTAGAAACAAACGAGAATGAAAACACAACATACCATAATCTTTGGGACAAGCGAAAGCAGCGCTGAGAGGACAATTTATTGCGATAAATGCGTACATCCAAAAAGAGGAAAGAACCAAAAATAACACATTAACCCAGCATCTCAAACAATTAGAAACAGACCAACAGAGGGAACCTATAGTCACCAAAAGAAAAGAAAAGAAAAAAAAAAAGTAAGAGCAGAAATAAATGACATGGGCCTGTGGGGTGTATCCTTTAGTAATTTCATGATGCATGGAGGGGATTGTGAACACTGCATTCAAACAAAATACAATAGGGGGAGTGTAAAACTAATGTTCTCCCATATAAACCCACATAAATCACAATAAAAACTTAAAAAAAAAGAAAAAAGAATAGAAATTTGTAATCCAGTTACTACCTAAACTGCGTTTCTACTGGGGGTCACAAAAAATTTTGGATATAGATAATGATGATTTTATCATGCACAACATGATAAAAACAATTAATGTGACTAAATTATACAATTTAAAATGGTAAAATGGAAATTTTTGTTATAAAAATGGTTAAAATGACAAGTTTTTTGTTATATTTATGTTACTACAATAACTTTTTTTTTCTTAGCCTGGTGGCCCTGTTGTTGAAATCACTCCTGTAGAACCCTGCACTGATTCACAGCATTTATCTTTGTTAAACTTTAAACAGATCAAGTATTAGTTACACTTTTGGTTATGATGTAGATCATAACCCATCACTGTCTTCACTACAACAATAAAAACAAGGCACAAAATAAAATTTTTCTTTTGGAGTCCTGGTGTGGCGCTGTGGGTTAATGTTCTAGACTGCAAAGTCAGTTTGAACTGCAAGGTTGGCGGTTCACGCTCACCAGCTGCTCCTCGGAAATCCTATGCAGGGTTGCTGTGAGTCAGAACCGACTCTACAACACTTAACATCAAAATTTTTCTTTTAATGCCATTGAAGAGCAATGAACACAAACAAGTATAATTGAAGTAAATAATCACACGGGGACAAGATACGAAAAAGCTATGATCACTTTCATAACTAGAGTCAATTGATGAATATGAGGCAACTGTAGGCTGAAAGGCTTTGCTAGGATGAAAGTAAACAAGGCATATTTCTAACAATGTTGATGGCACGATAGATTGGAATTTTCAAGTGCCTCCAAACTAAAATAAATACATCAACCCAGCCAATTAACCCTACAAGAATTCTATTCCTTAAATAATGGTAGAAATAGTGCTAGAAATTAAAGTGAGATCTATAAATTTTGTAAGGGACTTAGGTTCCATACCTCCACTCAAATTGAATCCAAAGGATAGCTGACACTAAGAAAAGCTGAAACCCAACCCAGCTCAAATCCTGTTAAGTCCAGAGAGATAAGATCCTCAGTGAAAACTTAGGAATTTCAGGATTGGTCCTTAAAGCCAAGGAGAGACTTCTGCAATAGTATTTGAAACTACAAGTAATTTGAACCTTATTAAATGCTCAACTATTGATGTGATCTGATTGATCTTCAAGCAGCTAGGTGTCTCAGAAGAAGACAGAATGAAAAAGAGAAATACTTTAGGAGAAAATAACAAAGACACTTTCAAATTTGATGAAAGATCTCAAACTACAAATCCATGAAGCTCAGCACACTAATACCCGACTGCTACTGAGACTATCTGAGGGCAAAGAACTGTGTTGTTTACATCTGTATTCCCAATAAACAGGATGTATCTGATAGACTCACTATATTGCTTTAAAAAGTTAAGTATAAATGAAAGGAGATACGAATGTTTCTAACAAGTCCAGCAAGTATTTGTAAGAAGGATGTTTTTCACAAGATTTTACTATTACTCCTTTACTGATTCCTCACGTGAATTGCCAAAATTAGTCTAAGCAACAGTTCCATTTCTTAGTCAATTTTCACTAGTACAGAAAATGGTTAAACACAAATCTGGGGAAAAATAGTAAAGAAGAAGACAGGTAATATGAACATACATACATACATACACACAAAATACTCAAAAGTGTCCACCTTTCCTTTTCACCATATATACACTGTATATAATCTGCATATCGCAGGTTTTTAATGAGTCTTTCTCTAATCCTGATGCCACGTTTTTCTTCAGATAACCCAGCTTCTCAGATTATTTGCTTAGAATACAGGCTGAATAAGTATGGTGAAAGAATACAACCCTGTCACATACCTTTCTTAATTTTAAACCATCCAGTGTTCCCATGTTCTGTTCAAACAACTGCCTCTTGGTCCATGTATAGATTCCTCATAAGCACAATTAAGTGTTCAGGAATACTCATACTTCACAATGTTGCCTATAGCTTGTCATGATCCACACAATCAAATGCCTATGCATAGTCAATAAATAACAGGTAAACATCTTTCTTGTATTCTCTGCTTTCAGGCAAATCTGCTGCACAAGACCTTTTTAAAGTGTCAGCTTGAGGACTAAGGTGCACCTGACCCAAACCATGGTACTTTCAATAACCTCATATGCATGTGAAAATTGGACAGTAAATAAGGAAGACCGTAGAAGAATTGATGCTTTTGAGTTATGGTGTTGGAGGAGAATACTGAAAGGGCCATGGGCTGCCAAAAGAACCAACAGATCTGTGTTGGGAAGAAGTGCAGCCGGAGTGCTCCTTGGAGGCCAGGATGGCCAAACTTCTTCTCTCATACTTGGGACATATTATCAGGAGGGACCAGTTGCTGGAGAAGGATATCATGTTTGCTAAGGTGGAGAGTCAAAGAAAAAGAGGAAGACCCCTAGAGAGACGGATTGGCAAAGCGACAGCATCAATGGGCTCAAGCATGGCAACAATTGTTAGGTTGGCCCAGGACCGGGCAGTGTTTCATTCTGCTGTGCATAGGATCGCTATGAGTCGGTACCAACTCGATGGCACCTAACAACAACAACATACTGTATTTATACAACTGTGTCATACTGTGAAAGCCTAATACTGAGACTCACAAAATCTGAGCTGAGGGAGTATCAAAAAGTTTTCAGAATATCTATGTATTATAGAGTAACAATCTCAGCATTTTTTGCATTTCCACTGTTTGATACTATACCTTAGATGAAGATCTTCTGAAAATTTCAGACAGGCGTAGATAAATTCTTTAATTTGGTTGTAAACTTTTGGCACAAATTCAGAGAAGGGAAACTTTTTTGGAAATGGCTGCTGTAAATGCAAAAATTAAAGAATTCGCATCATAAGGCAATACACATTGAAAATATTTTTAAGCTAATTAAAATGTAAAATGAACTTTCTTCCATATTGTGAACATTCTGCTTAAAAACATCAAATTGAAGACAGTGTCTCTGAAAATTTCCTGACACTAAAAAGAATAAGACATAAATTTAAATGAATGAAACAATAGCCCAAATGTTCATCAGAAGGTAAAGAGAGAAACTGTGGTACATAATAAGCAATAAAAGAAGGAACAAATTATTGATACATACAAGAACTTGGAAAAACCTAAGGCATGATGCTGACAAGTAAGTCTCAAAAGATTATATATTGAACAATTCCATTTATGTGGCATTCTGGGAAATGGAAATGTACACAGAGACCAGATCAATTATTCCCAGAGCATGAGGCTTAGGAAAGGTTGATTACAAAGAGGCAGTATAAGGAAATTGTTTAGGATAGAAAAAAATTTTTAGTAGCTCTGGCAGCATAGTGGGTTACGAGTGGAGTTGCTAACTGCAAGGTCAGCAGTTTGAATCTATAAGCTGTTCTATGGGAGGAAGGTAAGACTTTCTGCTCCTGTAAAGATTCTCAGAAACACTGATTCTCGCTATGAGTCAAAATCAACTCCACAGAATATAACTTCCACATACCATTACTGAAATAACGCAATGCGCTATCAAAATCAAGAGTGCTAAGAAAGATAAATTTTGCTATATGTTTTTAGGAGAAATTTTCTTTAAACTGTAATAAAAATAAGTATTACAAAGTATAAACCAAATGGAGAAACTCCTAACAATCCTCCAAACTCTATAGTGTCATACAATTCCAAAGCTATCTACTGATTCCCAAATCAGGAACTTATGCCTAGCCCTAAAGAGAGTTCTTTAAAGGTGTTCTAGAGTTCAAGCCCACTGAGTTGTAGGTAATGCTCTTGAGGAGACTGATCCAAGAAAAGCTTTAAAAGGATAGAATATGAAAAGAAAAATACATTTTTTTTTTAAACTACGGCTTACCTTTTCCAACTCTATATCATGGAACGGGAATTGTCCTACCACCTTTTTATACATCTCTTCACTTGTTACTGGTATAGGACTATAGTTGTCAGACTCCAGTATGTTTCTAAAAAGGAAAGGAGAAACAAATACGCAATAACTGCAACAATCACAAATCACTTTCAAGCGAAGTCCAAGTGTACACACATCACAATCCAAAATTAATATTGCTAGTTCCTATTCTATTTCCTCTACAAAAAAAGCTTTTTGGTTTCAAGCAAAGTCATCTTTAAAAGAGACAGAAAGAAAACTACAATCAGAAATGAATGGAACACAATTATAATTACAATTGATAACAACAGCAACAATATTTGAAAATTATACATAGCAAAGAAAATTTCTGAGCAGTATTGAAGCCTCAAGGCATGTAAGAAGCAAACAACTACAAAAAATGTGTGCTCTGGAAAAGGAAAAAAGGTATTTAAAAAAATAAAATTTGGTTATGCTCTTTAATCATGTGCTACTAACTTCTACTGGACTGCTGGTGACTCTGCAGGATAAGCATAGCTAGCCACAGGTTGACATTTCAAATCCACCAGCCACTCTGTGGAAGAAAAATGAAGCTTTCTACTTCCATAAAGATTTACAGCCACAAAAACCCTAAACAGGATAGCTGAGAGTCAGAGTGACAGAACCTAACAATAACTTTTAAAATAAATGAAAATTACTATAAAAATCATAGGCATTTCTTTATCTACTGCTCTCTATTAATCATATATATTTTGTCATTTATATGTTTTCACCTCATAACTACACTGTGAGTTTTCTAAAAGCAAAGAAGATGTTGTTGTTGCTGTTAGGTGTTGGCAAGT